TGCCTGACCGATTTTTTTCAGCCGATTATGCAAATCGGAGGCGGCCGGGCAGCTTCTAACGCCTGCCTTGGTCGATTTTTACTTAAAATGCTCACGATTCAACCTAACCTAACAATAAAAAGTTAGTTTTTTCTCATGCACCTATACAACCCAACCATACAAGCCAACTTATCTTTATCTCCAACCTAACCCAACTTAAAAAATTATTTTATTTTTATTTATTTATTTATTTATTAAGTATTATCTACGATTGATTTTTTGTTATTGTTTTAATTACAATAAATTAATTAAAAATCTATCATTAAAGTCGTAATAATTTCAAGAGATTAATATATTACATTACATTTAAAATTATGAACTCAATTAAAAATCGAAGTTACATAAATTGAAATAAAAAATATTAAAATTAATTAAACAAGTACAAACATTTTAAATAAAATCACATATCAATTCCCATTACCAAATGTTTCCCATATGTGCTCTACCAAATTATATTGTAGAGTTATGTGGCTTCTCTACACGAAGTTGTGACATATTACTCATACATGTGGATAGGTTTGTAAGTTTTTCAGACGAGTATTGAAACTGCATATCATCATCTTCTTCTTCTACTCAATTTCTTCTATTCTTCTATCGTTGCCTCCGTTCGTTTGTAAGCCTATCATTCATAAATTATGTGGTATCATAATAGTTTAAGTATGTGTTTCGTTCATCATCTAGTATCATATTATGCATGATGATACAAACTGTCACAATTCTTCCCAGAAAAAGATGATCACATACTAGGCATGGTCGTTTGATAAATGTGAAACGAGCTTGTAGAATACCAAATGCACGCTCAACATCTTTTTTTTAGCTGAATCATGGTGCTGAGAAAACAACTTATGGTTTCGAAGCTGTGGAGAAAACAACTGATTTAACAAATGCAACCCATGAAGGATGAGGTAATATCCCATATTACTTTCCCGACCATTCACAACGTACCTGATTTCTGGGGCATGACTGTTTGTCCCATTTTTGTGTCTTTATTTTGAGTTTATTTTCTTTTTATTTTCCCTACTTGTAGGATTTTTGGAGTTTATTTGGTCCAATTCTGTGGTTTTGTGTTTTTTCTCTTTAGTTTCGTTTTGTACGTCTTTTACTGTGTTATGCTTCGTGTTTTCTCCGTGTTTGTGTTTTCAGGAGGTAGGGAGTGCCGCTCGAGGACGAGAATGTTGGAGCCGAGACTGTGGTACCAAGAATACCAGTTGTGAAGCTCAGAAAGCTAAAGGAAGGACCGGAAAAATGAACTGAAGACTGTCCAGAGTTTCTCGCGACGCGAGCTGGTCGCGACTCGCGAGATCAACAGAGACGAAAAGAAGCACTCGCGAGACGAGTCGCGACTCGCGAGCCAATGTCGCGACGCGCGAGATAGAGTCGCGGATCGCAAGTAAGGTCGCGATTTTCCCCACAGAATGAAGATATTTGAAGACGCAAGTCGCGACTCGCGACCTGGAAAAATGTTAAGTCGCGACTCGCGAGATGGCCGACGCAAATTTCGAGGCGCGGGTTTTTACATCAGAATTAGGGCCTAGGCTTCATTATTCACTTCCATACTTCGTTTTTACGCTTTTTTTCCCTAGAAATTCATTCCGTTCAGTACTTTTGCTCTTGGGATTCATATTGGAGATTGAAAAATTCTTTTTTCTCGCTTTGAATTTGGATTATTCATTGGATTTGACATTGGGATTCTCATTATTAATCGTAAGTTCTTTTTTCTCAATTGCTTGTTGATGATGATGGCTTGGGTTTATATGAATTTTGATGTTGAATTCCATATGAGTAGCTAAATCCATTCGCTAGGGATAGAGAATGATTGATTAGGTTCGATTAATGATTGCTTGTTCTTGATTGCTCATGTTTATTCGAGTTGTGTTTATTCTAGGGCTAGTAGATTGATCACCTTTCTAACCTAGCTAATCAACGTGTAGAACCGAGAGGGGAGACGTTGGTCGATTTAGGCTCGTTTAGGATAGACTTGATCAGAGACGTATTGTCTATGAGTTGTTGGAATTGATAGTTGATCGTGTACGTTCACTCTCTTGTTACGAAGAGTTATTGAGAGTGAGCCTCTGGACGAGAAATGATTCAAGACCTTTAATCGAGCAATTAATTGCCTGGTAATTGTGTTAGAACCGAAAACAATTATCCCCGATTCCCTAGCTCTTTAATCACTGAGTAAATTTATCCTGCTATTTAAATTGCTTTTCATTAGCTTTAAATTTTTAGTTGATAATTAAAACCCACAAATTTATTGAATAAAGTGTTTAGGATTTTCTCTTTTTCGTGATCGAATAATTATACAATTGAATCCGACTAACCTTCCTTGCGATACGACCCGGGGAACGAAACTTTCGATTCTACTCCGGTAAAAATACTGACAACAAACCTTCCAAAATACCATAAAAAATAAAAGATTGGTAAAGTTCATTGATATCGTTGCACGAACTTGGTGTTTCAAAAATTGCATGTCATATCCATAAGGCATATGATGCAACAACTACCAAAATATTATTGTTTTTTTATTGCTATCGACATATTGTCAGGCCCATGCAGTAGGACAATTTTTTATCCCCAATGCATGCAGTTAATATTGTCCATCATTCTTGAGAATCCACTTTGTTCCCCCTCATGAAATATTCTTGTCAAATCTTGTTGATTAGGCCTTCTGCGGTATTGGTCGTCGAAGTTAGAAATTACGCCTTCTACGAATTTCATGCGATATTTTCTCCTTACAGCTTCACTTTTTTCCATGTATTCCTCAACAGCTTTTGTTGATGTCTCATAGAGCAACACCCTTATGGCTACAATACATTTCTGCAATGAAAAAATACCTAGCCTACTAGTGGAATCACGCCTTTGTTGAAAATATGCGTCGTTGATGGTGATTTTTCTCACTATACGAAAAAAAAACATGCTTACACATGCGAAATCTACGAGAAAATACATCTTCAGGACATGTTTGATTGTCGGAAAAGTAATCATTGTACACATTCTCTTCTCATATCCTCTCTCTCGTTGCCTTTCAATGATCTGTATTCTAGCTTTAGGTCCGTGATTTGTTGGTTGTAAGAACATATTGGGAATACAAACAATCACATCTTTCATGATGCGATCAAATCGTTTGTTGAATCACTCATTCATCAAATTCGACGAAATTGGAAGATTTAGAACTAGAAGTTATAGTTTTAGATGAGTTTTCGGGGATATCATCAAACTGGCACACCAACACACTGTGACCGTGAAATAGAACAATATACCATACTAAACAATATTATTTTCCAACTCACCTAGACTGTTGATCCAACAGAATGAATCTCACTTTTTATAATTAAATAAATAACTATTGAGGCCAACCTCATTAGTTATTTATGGTCGTTACTGCTGCCGAAATTGGTTAAGGTTAACACGGATGGGGACTTTTCATCCAATACGAGTTTCTGATGTGCGGGACGGTTGGTTCGAGATTCCCACGACCATTGGCTATGAGGGTTTATGATTAATGCCAACATTTGTTCCATACCAGAGCTGACTGTGGGGTCTCTTTCACAGGCTATGTCTCGCATGGGCTTTCGGCGTAAGGAAGGTAGTGGCAGAAGTGGACATAAGTAGCGTGATTGCTATGGTTATGGAGCGAGAGGACGTGGGTTGGATCCATGATAGTCTTGTTCGGGCCATAAGAGAATTACAGGACCGCGAGTGGTCGGTGACATTAGATCATGTATTTTGGGAAGCAAATTTCACTACAGGTCATATGGCTTCTTTAGCGGCGTTCGAACCCTTAAAGGTGCACCGTCTTCATGTTTCACCACCGTTCGTCGGCAGATGACTTGAACATGATCTTATTGGGGGTGGCTTACCCTCATCGCGTTCTGTTTTAGAGTCTGTTAGGCCTAGGCTCACTTTATTGTACCGAAAAAAAAACTACTGAAGCACGTGTCTGTTATTATCTTACACTTTAAGTGTACGCAGTACTTACCGAGGTCTAATTTATTTACCTGGTCAATATATATAAACTTATCATTTGCAAATCTGTTCAATACACTCTTATGGCATGATTGGTGTAATGGAATGAAATTTGGTGTGAATGAAATGAAACAAGTTTTGTTGTTGATGTATTTGGTATGCAGAAGGAATAAAACCGGAATGAAATAACATTATCATCCTATATTATCATTTATCACTATTTTATAGAAAAATATTAAAATTTATATTAATATTTATATTAATGTTATCATCCTATATTATCATTTATCACTATTAATGTTATGATAGTGAACATTTATCACTATGCACAAGGAATAAAACCGAAAAAAAAATATATATATTTGTTTTTCAAATACATTAAGATTTCTGTTTTACGTAAAATCGGGAAACAAAAAATACCGTTTTCTATAAATTATTATAATAACAATTACTATTATTGAAAAGCCAATCAAATTTTGACTAATAAAAACTTTCTAATTTTAATAAATTCAACAACCTCTTTCAATTATTATCGATTATTTATGCTTGGAAAAAGAATAGAACAATTAAAATTTCAGATTAGTCAGTTCCCCTGTAGATCCGGAAACTGGAAGGTCACTGTAAATATAAAAAAAAAAAAAAAAAAAAAAAAAAAAAAAAAAAAAAAAAGGGCAATTGGAGGTTTGCACGTTGGCCCCCAAGGCCCAATCCCACTTCCAGAACAACTTTCACAATTTTACTCATAATTTAACCGTCCTTGTCAAACAGTCAACCCAAATTCAACTGCCATTCTTGGAAAGTTCAATCTTTCAAGTTTCAGGTTCGCCCATTTTCATCCCTTCCCTCACTTTTCTCTAAAAATATTTATCTAATCTTCTTCCCCACGAAATCTATAGCCCACTGTCCCCTTTCAATCCATCCATTACTTACATAAAGGATAATCTTTTCTTCTTTGCTTGTTCTTGGATAGCATTAATTTCCGATAAAGAATCACGATGAAGTACTTCAGAATTATGAACATGAAGCCCCGGTTTCGATTCCTGCTAACTTGCAAGAACTCACCGATTCACGGTGCCCCTTTTCCCAAGTCTCGCAATTTTTCGTCCACCACCACGAGTTTGTCTAATTTCCGCTCAAGCACCCACAAAGTTGATTCCAATCCCTTTTCGCCCCCTTTTTCCGGGTTCAAATCCATCTGGGGTCAATCAAGAACTCTCTCAACCTCTAATCTAAGCAACATATCCCTTTATCCGTTTGCCTGCTATTCGTCGGATGTCCGCAGCTATTCGACCTCGATCGAGAGCCGTACAAACGACAAGAATTTCGAGAGGATATACGTGCAGGGCGGGCTTAATATCAAGCCAGTATTGGATAATGTCGATTTGGATGAGAGCTCCACGAAGAAGGGGGACGATAGTAGGGTAGAATTCGAGGATTATAGGACTAATGGTGTTAAAAATGAGGGTTTGAATGAAATTAGGGTGGGTCGGGATGAGGATGAGGTCGAAAAGGAGGCGTGGAGGCTGCTGAGGAATGCTGTCGTGAGCTACTGCGGGAGCCCAGTGGGGACTCTGGCGGCGAATGATCCTAATGATAAGCTTCCGCTCAATTACGATCAGGTGTTCATTAGGGATTTTGTGCCCTCGGCTTTTGCCTTCTTGCTCAAGGGTGAGGGAGAGATTGTGAGGAATTTCATGCTTCACACCCTGCAGCTGCAGGTAATCTGAGTTTCTTTTTCTCTTTGTATGTGTGCGTGTAAATTATGCTCTTCTATGTGGTGTGTGGTTGGTGGGCATAGGCCATTGGTTGTGAAATTGATGAAATTTTGGCTGATTCTTTATTTATTTATTTATTTATTTATTTTCTGATAAAACTGCAATGAAGTTATTGGAAGAATAGTAGCAAGCATTTGTTGCGTCTAGATGTATCAAGAATCGATCAATGTGAAGGGGAAAGTGTATTTTTCTACTTAGATAGGTAGAGTGGATGGAGTGAAATTGGGAAATAGTCTAGTTATAGAATCTTGGGATTTTCCTTCCGTAGAGCACGAAGTCTATCTGTTGTTGGAAATTTGTAGGACACTAGTACCAGAACTATAAAAACAAAAATGCCTTTACTCATATAGTCATGCTTAGTACACTTTTTGCTCCCAGTTTAAATATTATGTTTTTTCTATGTTTTATTTATCAGTTTTGGTTGGTGAGTTTCGGTTTTTTGGTTTTTCTTGTCTTCAATGTTCCCTGTGTTGTCCCTAGAGCTGGGAGAAAACTGTAGACTGTTACAGTCCGGGACAGGGATTGATGCCAGCAAGTTTCAAAGTTAGAACTGTGGCTCGCGATGATAATAATTTTGAAGAGATTCTCGATCCTGATTTTGGCGAGTCGGCCATTGGCCGTGTGGCCCCTGTGGACTCTGGTACAATTTCACCTTTTCTTTCTCTCCACAATAAAAATATAGTCCGCCTATGCCAATTTTTCACCTCAATTTTCACAAATTAGTTTGTGATAAACTTGATTTAATGCATAGGACTTTGGTGGATTATCTTGTTGCGAGCTTATGGGAAACTTACGGGGGATTACTCATTACAAGAAAGGGTCGATGTCCAGACAGGAATGAAACTGATACTTAACCTCTGTTTGTCTGATGGGTTTGACATGTTTCCCTCTCTACTTGTCACAGATGGGTCATGCATGATAGATCGGCGTATGGGCATTCATGGTCATCCACTTGAGATTCAGGTATTTTTCTGGAAACTATGTTTTTCGGCTTTTCAGCTTCATTTTCTGGTGGGATTTTCAGTCAGTAGAAATTTGTTGATCAGCTAGTTTCCCTTGTGAAAAATATATCTTAAAGGGATCTCTTATGTTGTGTCCGTTTGTGTGGTTTTTGAGATGTTAATACATTGTTATTTACATTTTTATTGTTCTATTCAGTCTGTTTTCTGTTTTACTGAAGTGGATCAAGTGGTAGGCATAGTCCATTAGTTCTCATGCTCTCATATTAGATGGTGA